TATCTTTTCCAGGATCTTCCCAGGTATTGAGGTCAGGCTGATAGGTCTGTAATTTCCTGGGTCCATTTTTTTTCCTTTTTTGAGGATGGGAACTACATCAGCTCTTTTCCAGTCCTCTGGTAGTTCCCCTGTGCTCCAGGATCTCTGAAAAATATAGTTCAGTGGTTCAGAGATCACATTTGCTAGTTCCTTGAGAACCCTGGGGTGTAATCCATCTGGTCCTGGCGATTTGAACTCATCTAGGCTGGACAGGTGCTCACTTACTATTTTCTTGCCTATCTTAACTTGTGTTTCTATTGTGTTTTTTATGGCACAGTATAAAATGTAAAATGATATTAAGATTTGTAGTAATTTCTATCTCAGCAATTTAAAGACTTTATGGTGAAAGAAACCCAAATGTTAGATGATGGATCCCAGCATTAACTAGCATGATCTCCAAGGTGGGGAACTTAGCTGGCTTTCTGTTAACAAAACAGTGAGTTTTCTAGGAAATTTACTGCATGCTCCTGTAATGGAATCTCCCAAAACAACTCTATAACAAACTAGATTGCATCGGGGATTTTGAAGTGGGGATAATAGGCATGAGCTCTGTTGCTTTGCTAAACTGTTACAACAAAACAATGTTTTTACCACAGAAATAGTTTGGGAAAATTTTAATTAATTTGTATGCATTGTGTACTGTTTTGAGGCGTCTTTCCTCATCCTTTAACAAAAACTTCTGCTCAGTGTTTCTTTCTGACAGTGCCATAGAACCTGTTTTATCATTAATTTATAGCTTGCTGCAAAGAAGCCTTTTATTCATGGTACTCTCTAGTTGTATTGGACTGTAATTTCCATCACCTCCAAACAGTACAGCACAGGGATAATGCAATTATAGCCTGACATATCCAAAGGGCATTTCAATGGAAAAATATATATAAAATCATAGTTTCCAGATTCATCAAATGCCACCTTTCTTCCTCCACTACTTTGCTATCAACTTTGTTGTCATATATTTGAAATCTAGAATATAGCACATTTAAAGCCCACCAGTGGGATATCTTATAAATTAATTGTATTTTAAGCCTTAGATCCTGATATTTAGATACTTAGATACTTTATCCAATATGTTCCAAACATGACCTTCCCTTGTCTCCAGTCTTTGTCCTTTATCCAATCTTAGACCTTTGTTCAACCTTGCATAATACAGATTCCAACAGAAGAGAATACTTGTAGTTCAGGGTTGAACTACAAAGTTCATGGTGCTCTCTGAACTTGGCTGCTTGCTTGTAGTTGTTTCATTACCCAACTAGTTAATACCATCAGTGTTGAATGTGAACTCAGATCTCCCCCATCACTGCACTTCACAATCATTCAAGGAGTATTGTTTTTACATTCTTTCTCCTATCTCTGTTATATAAATGGTAACAAAAGTACATGTTAAAGTTCAGAAATTCTTCAGCAGGTTATGCCACACATAGGACTTCATGGAAGGAGGTTGCTCTTGACATTTGCTAATTGTGGCTCAGGAGAGAGTTACTTTTATGGTTACGCATATTAAGCAAGTGTACCTATTTTAATCTGGACAGTCTTAGAAGGGTGTTATTCCCAAGCAGTACATCTAAGAAAAGAATACGGGTGGAGGGAATATTGGAAATTCTATATTGTAATAGGACAATGCTGCAGTGCTGTTCACTGTATACACACACAGGCAACACAACATTCAAGAGAAGGTGAAGCAGAATCAACATAAAATAGCAACAATGTTTTATTTTATTTCAAATTTCAATTTGCTTCATTTTAGACTCAAACTGAAAAGTCTGGGATCCATTAGATTACCTGCCCCAATGTTTTTCAGATTTTAAATATTAATACCACTGGAATTCAACCTAAATTGTGCTTAGCCACAGACTGAAAGTCACTACTAGTTCATAAGCATTATGGAATACTGCAACTACTTCAACAAGTTTTCAAACTGTGGTTTACAAGATTTTCACAGCAAGGAAAGGTTAATCCTTTCCCAATTTGAAAAAGTAATATTGGTGCTAGCGTCAAGGGGAGCCTCGGATAATATGCCATCCAGACACAGAGATACACAGACATGAAGCTCAGAGGCACTTCTACATCAAAATGCCAGGCTCAATTGTGACTTTTTTTTGGGGGGGGAGGAGACTCTGTTCAAGCTTTTCTGTAAGTTTAAATGAAAAGGAAAATGGTACCATTCTGGTTTTGCCACTGACTGTAGAGTGGAAAGCACAAAGTTATGTGCTGGAAAGAAATCCATTGAAAGCACATCCCCATTACTGTGAAAATTCATTGGTATAGAAACTTCACCTGTTAAATTTTGGCCTGCCCTAACAGTGGAGCCCTGACACTAAAAAAAAAAAAAAAAAAAAAATATGTGGCATCCCCGGTTTCCTAAGGCGAGACGTGACGGTACAGCTGGCAACGGCAGCTGAAGACGACGGCGACCAAATGCGCGGACAGGGTTCTGACGATCTCTGAAAAGATGAGGGCGAGGCCCACCGCTCGCGCCTGCCCTTCTGCCCGACCGAGGAAGCAACCACGCTTCCCCAAACGAGCCCGGGGTATTTCGCCAGACGGGGCGTCACGCACGGCTCCCGAGTCCCCTCCCGGGGTTAGGAGAGGAGGGTCCAGGGGCGGCTCCTTGGGCGGGGAAGCGCTGCCGGGGACGGCTAGCTCACTCGGCGCTCGGCTGGCCGTCGGGTCGATTCGGTAGCTCTTCGCCGTACGCACGGCCCGATTACAAGCAAGCGGGAGGAGGCGTTGAAGCGGCGGCGGCGGCGGCAGCAGCTATCCGAGGAATGCGCTGAAGATGGCGGCCGTCCGGAGAGCGCCCAAGAGCGGCTTGCTGGAGCTGCGAGCGCCGGGCGAGCAGTGGCTGCGCGTCTTGGTGACTCTTTCCGAAGACTTCTTGAGCGTCGCCCCCAGCACCAAGGGCTCCGAGGAGCCGCTGCAGCCGCCGCCCAGCCCCGTGCAACTGAACGGTGCCGAGGCGTGCGCCCTCGTCCCGGACTCGCTAACCAATATCAAGCGCACGGTGCGGATCGTGAAGCAGGACGTGGGGGGGCTCGGCATCAGCATCAAAGGTAAGCGGGAGGGCGAGGTCCCTTCGCCTCCATTGTTCTCCCGAGCAACTTTTATCACACTTTTGCTTTTCCTCCGCCGACCCCACTCGCGACCCTGCTTTCAACCTGCCGCTTCTTGCCACTCCAAGTAGCTTTGGGCCAAGCTACAATACTGGATTCCCCTCCTAGTACAGTACAGCTGTCCGTTTCGCCCCCAGGCTAGGGGATTGGCTATTTTTGGGCACTCGAGATCTAGCGCTGCCTTCCTGTAGCGGGACTGGGAATCTCGCCAGAGTTAAGAGTTCTGCTACCTCTTTTTTTACAAGCCACTTTTGGTTTCATGCAGTAATGACCTTTGAAATCAGTTTCATTCCTCCCGCTTCAGAAAAAGAAACCAAAACTCCAGAGGATAGTGAAAAGGAGAAGAAAGTCCCAACTGAAGTTGACACGAAATTAAGGAATGTATTAATTGCAGTCAAGCTCATCCCTAAGGAACTAGAACTGTATTAGAGTTTGAAAGTAACAACTTGGAAATAATGCTGCATTCTTCTCTTAGCTTGATCTTAGACAGCTGCAAAGTGTATAGTTTGCAGACTAAAAATCCAATCTGAGAAAGTATTCAACAATCCCACGAACCTTGGAATTTATGTAAATTTTGTTCTGCAGGATCTGATGTTTAGGTTCCATTTTTTAAACATAATGATTTTTAAGATGAAGGTTTTCAGACTGAGTGATCTGGCTGGACTTGTGCATTGTGGTAAAGCAGATAGATACTAGCTTGTTTGATTTAACATGCTTAACATGCTGTGTGGATCCAGCAGATCATATTTTATTCAATAAGCAAGAGCTAGGCATAACATAAATTAGCGCAATGCATGAACCAAGATTCTGCTTCAATGCTGCACTGGTGAAAGTCCAGGGCTGCTGTTTACAGGTAGTCAGGTGTGGCTACCTACATTTCCCCAGATTCTGGATCCATAGGCTGCAAAAACTGTTGCTGCTGCCACTGCCTCTCTCTTATGAATATGTAAATCCATAGTACATGTGTGTGTGTGTGTAGCTCCATTTGCAATGTTTGCCCTGACATCAAGTTCAAAGCTTAGTCCAATTGTGCTATGCAGGAGTTTCTTAAATATAGGAAGAACTTTTTAGGATGGAACAATATTAACAATGCAAATCCTATATATATGCCTATACCCAGTTAAGAATACACAAGACTACGTATTAAAACTCCTAAGTACAATTTATTTTGCACAACAAAGAAAAAATATAAATTGTCTAATTAATTGCAGATGAAATATGAGAACAAAGGAAATGTTAAGTATCCTTAATAGAGATTTAAATTACAAATTTAAATTTGTATTCAAAATGGACAATGATTAATATTATATATGTGTATGTGTGTGTGTATGTGTATGTAGGTATATATATACATATTTGTATATATGTATATAGCATGTATATATGTATGTTATATATATATATATATGGGTAGATACATATTTTCTTTTGAGAGCAGGCAACAGAATTTCATTTTTAATATGGGCCAGTGTGCTCACAGTAAAAAATGACAATAAAGGTTATCTTATCTAAAAAGTTATACACACTTGCCTTGAAATATATTTCTTTAAATTCATTATGACTGGCTTCTGGGTAACTATATAGATTTACATTGCTGAAAGGGTGAAAGAAGATCTCAAAAAAGACTAATTGTGTGTGTGTGTGTGTATGTGTGTGTGTAGATAGATAGATAGATATAGATATAGATATGATAATTTCAAAATTGGACATGCAAAAACCTGTGAAATTATCATGCGTACCACATAGGTTTGGCCATGCCAGTTGAGAATTATAACAGTAATAGACCAATATATTTGCAGAGCAATCGGTTTAGAGAAGGCTGGTCTAATGCTTTACATACCACTTCTCAAAACTGTTGCTTGGAAGAGCTTTTTGCCATCCTGGGAGAAGAGAAGGTCACACTTCATTAGTCTCTAGCACGGCTCTTGTGTTCTTATTTCTTGTGACTGCTCATGTGGCCTAGAAAGCAGAAGAGGGTAAAATCAGATATCCAATGAATGTTTCTTTTATTTGAATGGAAAGAGTCAGAAATACAAAAGGGAACACATTTCTCCATGAGACTTGCACAAATGTGAAAGACAGAAGGCCTTGTCTATTGGTGACAGGTGATATATAGTAAAATAAGAATCAGATCGTCTCAGATAATATTTTGTAAAGCATTTGATGCCATATTATCTTTGACCTTCAAATTGAGAAGGGACAGCACACCTTGTTGAGACAAGAGGTTTTCATTTGCATGCAAGTGTCATGGGAATTGTAGAAAACAAAGTTATCACCACATCTATAAATAATACTCAGCTTAGTCGGTAAGTATGAATGGAAAGTGAAGGAGTCAGCCTTTTCCTGCCTCATACATCTAGAGAAGCTGGCTTCAGTCCATAAATACTTGCATTGCAATAAATTTCCTAGTCCTGAAGGTGCTAGGAGGATTTGGGGGTGGGGGAACATCTAATCTTGCTTCTTTGTGTAATCTTATTAGTAGCATTCCAGGATTTAAAGATTGTGCTGGTCGAATCAATTAATGAAAACAAATAATTTGGGCTTTCTAGTTAGAGGGATATTAAATATGCAGACATATTCTCTTCATTATGCAGATACTTTCAGGTAAGAGCTAAAACTAGTTCATTTACATAAAATTTCAGATGTGCTGTTATCTAATATTTTTGGATCAATCTTATCCTTTAAAACCCCACTTGGGTTTAGAGCAGGGGTTCTCAACCTTGGCAACTTTAAGACTTGTGGACTTCAACTCCCAGAATTCGTCAGCCAGCTTTGCTGGCTGAGGAATTCTGGGAGTTGAAGTCCACAAGTCTTAAAGTTGTCAAGGTTGAGAACCCCTGGTTTAGAGCTATATTTCGCTGTGGGAAAAGTTTTGTTTTTGCTTTTCCTAAAAAACGGGAATATACCATTGGATTTGTGTGGTTGTTCAGCCACTACAGAAGTCAAGATGGGCAACTATATTTAGACTCATTATTGATAATTGATTATGTGACCATGCTGTTTTTGACTCCTAGCAGCCACATAGATAAGAATTTTTCTAACTTGATCCTTCAAGCCTCCCAACAGTACACTGTTCACCAATGTAACTGAGTCCATCCACTTTGCTCCTTATCTTCTTCTCTTTCCTTCTACCTTTCACAGCAATAGAGCCTTTTCCAGAGAGCTGGGTCTTAAACTCATTATATTTAGGCTTAAAATGTATTTGTAAGATGCTTTTTATATATAATACCTATGGCACAAAACTTCTGTTTGAAACTCAGTATGTTGGATTCTAGAAAGACATAGTTGAGTGCCAAGGTCCTGGAAGGAAGGTAATAAAATGATGTAAATAAAGTCTTTTTTCCCACAATAAACAACAAATAAAAAATAAAACAAAAGCCAATACAGATATATCTACTCCCACAATATGTACATGTGATATAGTATAAAATTAGGATCAATCAAAATATAATAAAATATATTTCAAAGCTTAAAATACAATATTTCTCAAAGCATGTAAAATCGTATCTATAGAATTGTATCTGAAATGTGGACAAGTATTTTTATGCATTACTCAGGACAACATTTATTTTGTAAAATTAAATCATCAGAAAAAATGTTATTTTTCACTTATCTCTATTTTTACAGCTGGGTCATTCTATAAAAACTGCTCTTGTTCAGATATCTTTTCTCCCTTAACAACTCCGGAAATCCTCCAGAAATGTAACTGAGTCTATCCTTAATTACCACCACTGCAAAAAACAAAATAAACAAAAAATACAAAAAGAAGGTACAAAAATCAGAGAAGGTTTGCATAGAACAAATCTTCTGTTTTCTTTCGTATGTTTGTATGACATCTTCTTTAGTGGCTTTTATTTGGATTCTGTTTCCAGGCGGTCGGGAAAATAAAATGCCCATCCTGATATCCAAGATTTTTAAGGGGCTGGCTGCAGACCAGACAGAAGCTCTGTTTGTAGGGGACGCCATCCTTTCCGTCAATGGTGCTGACCTGTCCGATGCTTCCCATGATGAGGCAGTGCAAGCTCTGAAGAAGACTGGCAAGGAAGTGGTACTGGAAGGTAAGCAGACCATTTTAAGGTGGTTGAAAGATGCTAAGGCGCTCTCCCCTTCCATTTCTGACATCACCCAGTGTTATGCTGTGGTTACTATATCAACTATACATAGGTGTCATTGATTTTACCTGATTATATTATAAACCACCAAGAATGTTTGTGGAATGTGGTAATAAATATAATAGAGAAGTAGGTAAACAAACAAATGTAACCCATCTGCTCTTTCCTAGAAATGCTTCTATCTCCTATAATAGTTTAATTGTAGATGTGATCTGGGATCTCACATCCTCAAAATATGCCAACTCAAAATTTATGCAAGAGAAAGAATGACTATAGCTTTGTTCTTATTCTTAAGTCAACTTGAACTGTAGGTTTTGTTATATATGGAACACCAAATTTAGCTGAAGAGTCACCTGGCTGCAGCAGAAACCTTCCTTTTTTTCCACCGTAGTAATTAAGATCCATATCACATAACTGCATTCTGGGATGGTGCACACTGTTCTAGCCGGGCACAGCTCATTGGCTTCCAGTCTTCACCCAGACAGTTGTTCAAACTCAAAAGACCAGTGGTCAGAAATTCAGGGACAGAACTCTAATTTTACTACAGATAAAATTACAGATAATTTTATTACAGATATTAGAAAAGCAATAATTAACAGAAAACTAACAACTGCCAACTGTAAACCTCAAGCCATATATATATACTAATATACTAATCCTAAGACTTGTTTTTTCCTACCTGTGTATCCAAAGAAGCTGAGAGCCTACCTTGTTCAGTGACCCTTTCAAAATTACAACAACTGAAAAAAAAAGCTTTCCTCTTTTATTATCTTTGCAGTGTTTTTCAGTCACATAGAATAGAATAGAGCTGGAAGGGACCTTGGAGGTCTTCTAGTCCATCCCCCTGCTTAAGCAGGAGAACTTATACCATTTCAAACAAGTGACTGTTTAGTCTCTTCTTAAAAACCTCCAGTGATGGAGCGCCCATGATTTCTGAAGGCAAGCTGTTCCACTGGTTAATTGTCCTCACTGTTAGGAAGTTTCTCCTTAATTCCAGGTTGCTTCTCTCTTTGGTCAGTTTCCAACCATTGTAATTCCAACCATTACAGTGAGTATGCCTAGACCTGTGCCTGATTTGTGGTTTTCTTCCCTCCCTCTTGCAGAGCAAAAAGATAGGAGAGGAAGAGATTACAAGAGAATAAGCAAGCACAGTATGGGGAGTATACATCAAAAGCAAAGTGCTGGTTCTGTCAATTTATTGATTCTTGATATTTGGAGATGACCAAGACTACCTGATCAGAATATATGTAACTGATTACTGGAAATATATTTTACAGAGACTTGAATTTATTAACTCCTATTATTTGGGTGATGGGGTGGTAGGGGAAGTATGGATTAGCTACTACTGTCAAGCAGAAGGTTGTGTCTGCTGAAATGTATCTGTCATTTTGGGGAATTTCAAGCTATTACAAATAATTACAGTTATCTGGGGGGGGATCTACTATTTCCTGAAATATTTAGGCCACTAATTCTCCTGTATACCCAAATACCTGGATAATTTCAAATACACTGGACTTGCCCTTCCATTTATATTTGTATTATGCAGTTAATTTGGTTTAATACTTGAATAACTGTAAAAAATCATGAAGGCACATTCAAGCTTTTTTAAAAGCTTGGTTTGTACAATCATGAAAAATTGATGTAAGTAATTTTCCACTGCCTTCTCTTTCTCCTTAACTCCCAAGAAACTAAAAGAAAGTAGCTGTTGTTTCAGAAAGACAGTGGAACTTTTTTTCTCTATGGAGTTGAGACTGAGTCTACAAGTATCAACATTTCTTCTAGAATCTGACATGAACAGTATTATTTTATCAGTGGAAATGCTGGGGTTTATAATTTCAGCCCTAGGAAAAAATGGATGCTCCTCCTGAGATTGGGAACAGATTTCAGTGCCATAACTTGTCAAATTACTCCATGTGCCTTAAAATAAAAGGAAAGGAGAAGGTGGTAGCAGGTTCCTGAAGTCTGAATCTAGTAGAGTGTTTTTGATGTGAATCTTTTTACAAGGAATCAAGATCCTTACCACACTCCCATCTTAAAATCTTAATATATAAATGTCTGTTTATCCTACCTCGATAAAGCCAAATAGATTTGATTTTTAAAAGATTTGGATTTCTTCCATGTTTAAGAAACAGTTTGCAGTGCCATTTTGTAAAGTTGTGCAGCTAACCTTCTTGACTCTGAGCTCCAATCCTTCTTTTGAAAAATTATTGCTTACGTACATTTTCTTTTATTTGGCTGATACAGTATAGATTTATTCAACTTACTTGTCCATATTGCTGTCTATGAATAATGATGCAATGGTTCTTATTCTACAGGCTGAGATAGGATGTCTATAGCATAAAACTCAACATTTAATCAGAGACAACAGAAGTCTGTTTATAATGTTAAAGAATAGTAGTGTTTGCTTAGCAACTCTTGTTTTCTAATCTGTGCATTATATACATGAACCTTAATTTATAATTCTGTATTTCTTATAATACTCCAAACTTTAAGATGATTAGTTTACTATTACTATGGTTACCAGATTTGCAATTATATAATAGCTTCTTCTAGTTTAAAATAAATACTGGCTCTCATTTTCTTGCAGAATACATCTGAATCTTTATAGGAGAAAATTGTCATCCCATAACCATTTGCTAAATTGGAGTGTGGAACTCGAGCATCTAAGGAAAAAGAGCTGGTGAAATAATGAGCTGAGGATTTATAATCCTTGCTTGGCCCTGAAGGTCATTGGTTGTTAACCAGCGTACTGTAATTTACTGTATACTGTTTTTGTGAAGGCATATAGCAAATGGGACAATATCCACATCCGCCTTTCCCAATTCACCAGAATTCCTCAGTGCTGCCACTTGGAAGGAAGATTGCTTTAAACTACTCTGATCCTTTGCAGATTATAGGTAGAGCAACAATAAAGCAAATTTTGCTAATTTCATCAACAAATCTTTAGAAATCTGTATTGCTATAGCATGGTGGAGAATCAGGTGCTTTGGACTGTACTTCTTTTTATTCCCAGACATTAACCATTGATTGAGGGTTGATTGGAGCTGCCATTCCTACTCCATATGGGAAAGACAGATAAAGCATCTGTTCCTATTACTTGAAATAATCAGGGAGGGATCTTGAACTTCATTATGAGTTTAGCTATCTTGATTCTTGTGAGCAGCCACTGATGGTTGTCCCTGAACTTGAATGAAATGTCAGAAATACTCATTAATTGAACAGAATCTCTCTCAAATATATAAAAAGTGATTAGCTGTAGAGTTTGACAGAAGATTTCAGAGAAATATTTGTTTTTAAAAATTGCTATTTGAATTTAGAGTCAGGGAAGAATAGAGAATCCGAACAACAAGAAAAATTGTACTATTTAAAAATTATCACATTTATAATCACATTTATAATCATGTCAGTTTTCAAGCATTATAATATACTCAGGTAGATACCTGGATTTCAGTTTATTTGGAAGAAGGAATTAAAACAATGACACTAATAAAGCACTATGCAGGCTTAGAAAATCCTAAGAACTTTTCGTAGATCACAAGGAACCCAACTTACATTGAAGGAGGTGGATGGAAAACACACATTAGGGAAAATATACCTTAGTTTTTGGCCCCTGTGTAAAACATGAGATTATACAAGTTTCTAATTCACATTATGTGTTTAATCATTGCTTGTATTAATCTGTTCTATGCAGTACTTGTAGAAAAATGCTGCAGGGAGATATTGCTGGCCTCATTTCTTATAATGTGTGCTTTCCAATCAAATCTATCTTTGTAGTTGTGAAGAGTCAACACTCACTTGGTGGCATTTAATTAGTCAATTCCAATAAGTGCATGAACTTTGCCTACAAAATTTTATATTCAGAGACAATCCAGTCACAGAAGTCCAAGAGAGCATGGAAAATCCATCAGCCACCAAGAAAACCATAGGCTCTTTCTACATTTTTAGCACTTCGTACAAAAAATATGAGAAAAGGAATTCTTTAAGCAAAACCAATTAATTTCATATTCAGAACTGGAGTTGATTTAGTTAATCCATTCTTACAGTCTTGGCAAATTCTTTCTGTAAAGTTCAGATCTCTTGTTGTCTCTTGTTGAGACGTTATAAAAAATTAATAGAACTTGCTCTTTTAAAACAACACAGAGATTTTTTTAAAAATGTCAGACCTTGAATTCTTGATCTCTGTGGAGGAAGTTGATCCTTCTGTGGCTTCGGTTAGAATTGATCTGCTGGAAAATATGATGAGATGGCTTGGAAAGTTTTAGCAACTTAAAGTTTAAACTTTGCTGGATCAGAGCAATAGTTTGCCAAGACCAGCATCTACATACTGTATGCTCACATAAAAGAACACAAGTCACAAAGGAAACAAAGCAGCTGCTAGTTTTTTATAAATAGTATGCTTATTCCCAATTCTTTTGGGACACTAATCAGTAGTCAGGGATCAATAAAAAAGGAGGGGAAATAATTGTACTATATTAATTTTACTGTTTATAAACAGAACAAATGATCAAAAATGTAAGTTTGTGAGTCCATATTTGCAGATGGACCATGTAAAGACTACAGAAAGATTCCATTTGTAAAGCTAGATAAACTTGATAACTTGTCTTTTTTTGTTTTGCTTTTTGCCCTACACTTTGGGTTGTATAACTCAACATAATTTTGCAGAAGTATCTGCAGGTTCTGATGCTTTTATCAAAATGACAAATGGGTGTACAATAGGAGCAGAATTTGCATCATGATGCACAATACTGCTTTTATCATTTGCCCCCTTGACTATCCTGTGGGATTATTCAAGTTACTTTGTTTTACTAGAATAGCATTTTAATTTGGACATTTTGAATGAATAAACTCTTTGGGATAAAACGACTTCTAGTACTGTTGCATTCAGCAGAAACTGAATGTGTACCTTGACTTTTGAGCAGGCAGAAGTAACCTGTGCTACTCTTGGATGAATTAAAGCTAGAGAAAGGGAGTACCCCTTAACAATGTTGTATTGATAGTGAGGAATTATTACCACTGAATATATCATGAACTGCTGGGTGTAATTAAGGATGTTTGCAAAATGCATACCACTTTCATAGTTTAGCCATTCTTCTAACTGCAGATGATTGGCATGTTGCTTTCATTGATATTATTATAGTCCTTCTCCAAAGGGAGGCTTTCAAACACATCATTGCAACCTGGTGGTCTAATTTGTAAAACTGCCATACACTTAAAACAATCTTAGCTGATTTAAGGCTCGCGTGATTGGTTAAATATGCCATTCACTTCAATAGTATATTAAAATAGCATAGAGCCCAGTGTGCATGTGTACTACATATGCACATTGAATGTTTGCCTACTAGATGACAAGGGAGTAAAACTACTTCTGGCTAACCTTGTCTAGAGGTTAACCTTGGAAGCTAAGAAGGATTGGATCTAGTTACTATCAGGATAAGATAACACTAAGGATTATTAGAGTTGTGGGACAGGTTGAGAAATTAAAACATCCTGGGAGAAACCAGTGGCAAACCATATACATATTGTGGCCAATGAAGCTATATGATAGTCTCCATAGAATCATTGCAAATCAAATTTGGCTCAACAGCATATTTGTTAAAGGAGATAAACAAGATTCTAGCTAATGATTTATTTTCCTCTTTGTTCCAGAAGATTTACAGCAGATATTTGACTTGAATAATATTTTCAGGAAGGTAATCTGAGAAACAGAGGCAAATAATAGCAATATAATATGTAGACCAGATGTCGCTATCAAGTTAGGTCACCTCAGTTCAGATTTCACAATTTAAGATAGAAATTGCTATTTCAATTTCTGAACATACAAGAGACAGACTATGGATTAATATGTCTCCCTAATTTCATTTCCTTACTCATCACTTTCTTAAATTTGTAAATGTATTCCCATCTTCATAGTAGAGCAACTTCCAGAGGTTAAGAAGCAAACAAGCTATTAATCAGCCATTGGTATTACCTAGATGTTACTGTATAGTATTAATAGTTATTGCTATACATGTCCCAAATTCCTGGCAACAGGAACTTTCTGAATTATTCCAGTCTGTAGAACCAATTTAACTGGCATCACTCTGTCACATTTACACCAGACACAGCAGTAAATGTTGTCTTTCCAGGAACTCAATCCTGGCTTTCTTTCCTCCAGCCTTGAGAATTGCACATCTCTCTTCCTTTTTAAGTAATTACTTTGGCCAAAGACTTAATACCTCTTTT